TTGCCTCATAGCCGCAAACCAACAAAATAGCACTGAGGCCATCTTTCATTATTCCATGCACCACGGTTCAAGCACTACGGCTTGCCTTGAGCGCTTCCACTTTCTCAAAGCAAACTTTCAAGTCGCCAAGGGCACTCACTGAAGAGCATCCAGGGCAATCTTGATCGAACAGGTGACGAGCGACGGAACGACTCCTGCTTAGGACGACCGTCGGCATCCGCAATCCAAATACGAGCGGTTTAGCCGCAGCAACTTTAATATACGCTATTGGAGCTGGAATTACCGCGGCTGCTGGCACCAGACTTCCCCTGCAATAGATTTAGCCGAGCTTGTGTAAGGCTCAGTCGTTCCGGTAACGGGTCTCATGGAGATACGTTCCGTTATTTTTCGTCACTACCTCCCCGATCTGCGAGTGGGTAATTTGCGTGCCTGCTGCTTTCCTTGGATGTGGTAGCCGTTTCTCAGGCTCCCTCTCCGGTGTCGAACCCTGATTCTCCGTTAACCGTTGTCACCATGGTAAGCACGTAGCGTACCATCGAAGGTTGATGAGCTAGTCATTTCAAAGATTCGTCGCCGGTGCCGGACCGTGCGATCAGCATAGTTATTCGCATTCAGCAACCTTTCGCGGACCCAGACCAATAGATAGTCTGCGTCCGATTGGTTTTGTTCTAATAAATGCGCTCCGACGCGTTCAGCGCTACCGAGCTTCGAGGCACGTATTAGCTCCAGAATTTCCACAGTTATCCAAGTGGACATCAGTTTTGCGAACAGTGACTGCTGTAATGAGCCATTCGCGCCTTCACCGTTCAACAGTGTGCGCTTGCACTTGCATGGCTTAGCCACTGAGAGAAGCATATGACTACTGGCAGGATCAACCAGGTAGCTCGTTCCAGCTCTAGTTTTGAGCGTTCTCTCCCGGGCCGACGTTCGTCGGTCGGTGGTACTTGCCGCATGGCACCCGCCGCATGCATGACAACCAGCAGCGGTGAGGCCGCCTTCACTGCCATCACTTCAGCAACCGACGGACCACTCGTCGGAGTGCACTCAGCATTAAGTGAGGTACGACGTTGCCCCTCGTCGTCCTCGTAGCTCGTTACAACAAGCATACTATCGTCAATTCTCAGCTACCGACGGAAAGCTTCGTCGTAGTAGCGCAATCACTACTAAATCAGGTACGCCGCCGGCCCTCGTCGCTCTCGTAGCCCTTTCCAACAGCGGCAACACCGTTGCCGGCTGTAGTGCCGTCAATTCAACAACTGACGGAACCTGTCGTAGCACATTCAGCACGACCTGTGAGGTACGACGGCCCCCTGGTCATCCTCGTAGCTGTTGGTCTTGTGTTGTTCGGCAAGCATCGGGCTGGCTACTGGCGGGCGGGCACAGCGCTTGGAAGCGTGCTGCTAACGACCGCCAGACGGTACGGCGCACCGGTGCTGCCGACCAGGTGCTACTAAGTACACAGAGCGGTCGTTGACCCCGGCCGTCCGTGGTACGAACGGCATCGCAGACCGACGTGTTTCGCTCTGCTTCACCGGCAGCGTCGTTTGAGTGCCACAAGATACAGCCTTCGCGACAACCACGCTGGAAGCCGACCTTCGGAGTGGTCTAGCGTAGCCCGTCGGCGTCGTCGACGGTGGCCGTGGTCGTCCTGCAGCAGCTGTGCTCGACGGCAGTCACTAGCTGCGCGGCCGAGGGCTGTAACGGAGCCCCGGTCCGTTGCTGCCGACCACGACTTTTCAGCGGAGCAGGCCGCTGCGGGCCTCGCATCGAGCAGATAGCGCGGCTGCGCACGCAGTAGCGACCGTCCCTCCCTACGTCGGCTAGCTGCCTTGTGCCTTCCTTGGAGAGGGTCCCCCTATATATACAAGGGTGAGGTGTGCCACCGAACTAGCATTGCTCGACCTCGAAGACGAAGATCTTCATACACTCTCTTTTCTCGCATATCTCCACATTTTCTTAACTTATGGACGTCGTAATGTATTGTTTTGACTGCCACCATGGTCACATGTTTTACCGTCATGCACGTGGTCACTTGTTCTATCCTGTGAACATCGCTGCATGTTCTATCTTACGAACATGGTTAGAACTTCTATCATTATGAGCATGGTTAGAGGTTCCTTCACGGCAGACGTCTTCATGTGTGCTTGCATTACTTCCGCCGTAACGTCCTCTTCCGTTTGGAACACCTTAACGTGTTCGTGCTTTTTTCGGTAGCCTTGCACTCCGTTCCACCGCCACTCGCGTCCGGACTTGGTACCGCCAAGTCCGTCCGCCTGGCCGCTGCCCCTGTTAGAGGGCTGTTAGTGCCTCCTTTTCCGACTGTCGATGCTCAATGACGGGGCCAGTGTCCCCATGTTTCCGCTAGGCGTTAAAAAATGACTACGAGCAGTCCAATGAAAGGCAAAGTCTCAACAAATCGCAGTGTTGGGACTGCTCTAGTAATCAGAACACCTCAACCGGTGTGTCCGTCGTCTACGGGGAGCTCTGGTGTTCGACTGCTGTTTCAGCCGTTGGGTGATCAGTGGTTTCGCCGCCGTCGCAGCATGTCGTTCATGCTGGCCGGTGGCGCTGCCGTCAACAAGTGGCAGCACGGCTTCAAGTGGAGACCGGTCGACCGCGCAAGGCCACTGCCGGTCTACCGTCAACTTTGCAAGAAGTCGGACGCAACGTATCGTCGCCAGTCGATAGGCAAGATTCTGACTTAGAGGCGTTCAGTCACTATCTTTCAGATGGTAGGTTCGCGCCACTGGCCTTTCAGCCAAGCGCATGAACCAAATGTCTGATCCTACGGTTTCTCCCGTACTGAGCAGGATTAGTATGGCAACGGTCAGTGATCAGTAGGGTAAAACTAACCTGTCTCACGACGGTNTAAACCCAGCTCACGTTCCCTATTTGTGGGTGAACAATCCAAAGCTTGGCGAATTGTGCTTCGCAATGGTAGGAAGGGCCGTCATCGAAGGTTCAGAAAGCAACGTCGCTATGGGCGCTTGGCTGCCAGAACCCAGTTATCCCTGTGGTAACTTTTCTGACAGCTCTTACATGAAATCTGCAAAATCAAAAGGATCGATAGGCCACGGTTTCGAGCTCTCTATTCGTACTGGAAATCAAAATCAAGTGAGCCTTTGCCCGTTTACTCCAGGCGACGTTTCTGTCCTCGCTGAGCTCACCTTGGTACACCTGCGTTACCGTTTAACAGATGTACCGCCCCAGTCAAACTCCCCGCCTGACACTGTCTTCGGAGCGGATCGCCCTGGACGGCACCTCGCGTTGCTACGGGTGCTCGAGCTGCCGCCGACTGCGGGGAGGCGTCCCGTGGGCTTTGCAGGAAAAGTGGCAGTCGTCGCGCGCCGTGGGACGGCCACGCGAGTGACCGTTTCTTCCGCTTGACGGAATAAGTAAATAAACGATCAAAGTAGTGGTACAGTCAAAACTCCATAATCCGAACATCAACGGGCCCCGGGGTGGTTCGGAAAATAGAGGAATTCGGATTATGGAGGGAGCTTGCAGGTACTGGATGTGAATGCAGGAGGTAACAACATGTTAAATGTAACCGCTTTAGCTTATGGGGGTGACTATTTGACGAACGAAAGTCTGTGGCTAGGAGAAAACAGTTTTCTTTGTCGCGCAGAAACTGTATGACGAAGCGGCAGGGGAAACAGTCCCGCGAGTTTACTTTTTCGGACTCGCTGTTGCCAGCTCGCTCCACCTCCCGAGAAAAATTGAATTAACAGTTTATCATTGCGCGATTCTTAACTTATTGTAGACTTTGTTCCCTGGATCATCCGCAGGTGCCCACACGTCTTTCCTCCGAAGGAATAGAAGTCCGCGAAAGGAAGATTTATTGTAGGTGGTCAGTTATCAGCGTATGCTTGAGTACGCTTTTACGTTTGCTAGCGGCTAAGTCACGGATGCCTTTTTAAGCACAAAAGGTCGTCTTTTATCGCATTCGTCCTGATCTTCGAACCACAGCAACGCAGCCTCCAGTGGAACAAATGCTCCGTTGTGTGTTGGAACCGCGCTGTGCTCCCCTTCATCTTCCTCGGCATGTTGTTCCTCCTCGGGCATCACATCCAACAAAAACGACCAGAAGAAAGGAGACAAGTTATTACAGCGGGCGGCGATGAGGTCGCCTAAGCATGCTTAGTGCATAATGTCGGTCTGTTGTTCTCCGCGGCGGATTCGGATAATAGAGGGTTCGGATTACGGAGGTACGGATTATGGAGGTTTCACTGTATTTCACTGTCGGCGCGGCACCGCAAGCGGCCACGTGCCTCCCACCTGTGCTACACCTTCAATGTGTCTTCACAGAGACAGACTAGCGTCAAGCTCAACAGGGTCTTCTTTCCCCCTGATTTTGCCAAGCCCGTTCCCTTGGCTGTGGTTTCGCTAGACAGTAGATAGGGACAATAGGAACCTTGTTGATTCATTTATGTGCGTCACTAGTTAGATGACGAGGCATTTGGCTGCCAACATTTTACTTGACGACAACAACATGCAATTGAAAATTACAACTGTTGCGGATGAAGCGTTAGTAACTGGAATCAGTGTGTTCCCCGAGATGTACCGTAAGCAAAAGGTTTACTGGTATAATATTCATCGCTTATAAACTGGTAGTACAATGGAGGTGAAACGAGTTCAAGAGGGATTACTGGCAGATCGATCAATCAAGCCTCGGTGACCTCGCGAATCTGTCAGAAGTGACCGCGTGTGAATAATTTCTTGTGAATCGGCGCGCTCTGATCTGCCAGGTGCTACAATGGTGGTTATTCACACGGAAACCTGGGGCGATAATGATATCCCGGTTTCTCACGGTCCTCTGACCGTAACAACCCTGGCATCCGGCCAGGTGGGCTTATCAGAGTCAGCCCTTGCTTCAATAGGTGCACCTTTGCGACGGGCCTGGTAATGTCGCCCCTTGAGGTTCTGAGTCGTACGCTGCGCACCAAATTGTCAGATCCTGGCAATACTTGAAGGACCCTGCCCATTGCCCAACGTATTCTGGGCAGGTTTTCCTCTGCCACCAACACTATATCGCCCACCATTGGTGACGGTTTCACTCCACACCATTTTTCCTTACAGACAGTATGGTAATGTATTCTGTGCGCCACCGTTTCCAGAAATGGGCAACCAGTCTTTGCTGGTACTTCCATCTGCCTCGTAGTTCAGTGGCTGTTTGAGGGTGGGTAGTCCCTGTGTTGGTTTTTGCTCAGGGAACTCCTGATGTTCTCTTCCAATGAGAAAGTGGAACGGAGTTAGTACGTTCACGTCTTTTGGATCTTCACCCACAAATGTCAACGGCCTGGCGTTGTCCTTCGCCTCATGTTCGGCTAACACTGTACCCATCTCCAGTTCAGTGAGTAGTGCATGGCCTAACACCTTTCGCAAGGCCATCTTTACCGACCGAACCAGACGCTCCCAGTAACCGCCAGTCCACGGCGCTCTCTCCGTAATGAATTTCCACGTAATGCCTTCAGGTGAGAGCTTCTCTTTAATTTGGTCCAGACTTCGACCGCTGAACAACCGCTGAATTTCCTTATCTGCGGCTTTAAACGTGGTAGAATTGTCTGATTGCATTAAGGACGGTCTCTCGCGATGTGTCACGAAACGTCGCAGTGCTAATAGAAATTGGTCAGTCGACATATTCATTACCAACTCCAAATGCACTGCTCGCATGGTCATGCACGTAAACAAGCAGGCGTAGGCCTTTTTGCTGTATTTCCCATATTTGACGTACAAGGGGCCAGCGAAGTCTACGCCCGTTCTTTCAAAAAGGAAATGCTTGAGTAATCCTTTCTTCTGGTAGCGGTGCCATTTTCTGCACAAATCGGCTTGATGAAAACCGCTTACAGATTACACCTTCCCTCACGATCCGTTTGACCGTACTCCTGGCCTTCAGTATCCAAACGTTCTGGCGCAGCGTTGCTAAGGTGTGCTCTGTTCCTGCGTGCATTTGCTTTTCATGTTCGCTTCTTACAAGCAGGTCCACCACCATATGTCTGTGGGGCAAGATGATAGGATGTCGGGCATCATACGACAATCCGGACCTCTCTATTCGGCCTCCCATTCGCACTAGGTGGCCTTCTGCGATGAAAGGATCCAATTGGAAAATCGCGCTGGTTTTTGGCAGTTCTTGACCAGAACTTAAACGCGCTATTTCTGACGAGAAAGTCTCAGCTTGTATGAGCCGATACCAAGTCATTTGAGCATTTCTCAGCTCCATAGCTGTTAAGGGCCCGAAATGACGACATTGAAGGAGGACCCTACTGTTGCTTACAAACCGCAAGCACATAGCGGTAACTCTGATAAGACGACCAAATCGTCCGTACCTTTCCGCTAGGGAGACCACTCTTGCTACGTCATCCAACCGCACGTGCAGTAGTTTCACGAGTGACATTTCTTTCGGCGCGTTTCTTTTAATGACCTGTTTAGGCCACATGACTTCTTCTTTCATTAACCACGAAGGTCCGTGCCAGCAGATGGCTTCTTCCTTCAATTTCTTTATCGTACATCCACGGCTCAACAGATCTCCCGGGTTATGTTTCGTTGGACAGTATCTCCACTGCATGGGTTCACTTAACTGGTGGATTTCCTCCACACGGTTCCGAACGAACTGCTTCCAACTGCCGGGAGCACCTTTCACCCATGCCAAGATAATTTTGCTGTCACTCCAATAAAATATCGAATCTATTGGTATTTTTAGCTGACTTCTTACAAAGCTAGTCAGCCGGGCTCCCATTAGCGTCCCTAACAGCCCCAGTCTCGGTTGAGTGACTCTCTTTACTGGTGCTACCCTGATTTCGCCACTGTAATGTTCGTAAGGTACATACCGTTTTCACCTTTCACCTTCAGGTATACAACTGCTCCGTAGGCCACTTCGGAAGCATCGCAGAACGTATGCAATTGTACCTGTTCCCGCCTGTTTTCAGGGGGTATTCTGAGCGACCGCTGCACCTTAATTTCTGTCATCGGAGTGCACTGTCTTTTCCAGCTAATCCAGCTTGCTGAGATATCCTTTGGGATTACTTCATCCCACTTTATACCACGTGTCCACAACTTCTGCATTAGAATCTTGGCGACTACCGTGAATGGTGCCAACCACCCGAGTAGATCAAACACTCGTGCGAGCGCTGTTAGTAGTTGCCTTTTCGTGTCCAGTGACCGTGCATTCAATTGAGGTGCATTAACGGCCATTGAATTATGTTAACGGTCCCACCACAATCCTAAAGTGTTCAGCGTTTTTCCTGCTTCGCTTTCGCAGGGGTCTTTTTCGACCAAATCGTTTAGCAGTGAGCAATTGCTGGCACACTTTGTGAGCGTAAACCCTCCTTGTTGCATCAGTTCCACTAGATCGTGAACCAGTGCCGTCGCGTGCTTTGCACTGTCATAGCTGGTGACTAAATCGTCAATGTGCATATTATCGAGAATTTCTGTCGCAGCTTTGGCGAACGTTTCACCATTCAGCAGAGCATGATGTCTAATGGCGGCCACCGCTAGGAAGGGGGAGCATTTCAGTCCAAAGCAAACTCTTTTGAACCGGTAAATGGTTGGTTCACGATCAACTTCCAGATTTCGCCATAAAAACCGAACCATGTCTCTGTCTTCTTCACGCAGCCTGATTTGCACGAACATTTTCGGTACATCAGCTTGTATTCCAATTCGGTACCGTCGAAATCGGATCAGTATTCCGACTAAGTCTCTCTGCAATGCCGGGCCTGCTTCCAGCTGATCATTCAGTGAAACGCCACGGAAACTCGCTGAACCGTCGAATACGATTCGACACTGTGTAGTGGTCTTGTCGCTTCTTACCACTGCATGGTGAGGCAAGTACCACTCTTCACCTTGGTTAGTTATCTTTCGTGAAGCTTCCTCTACCCAATCATTCATGACGTATTCCTTCCTGGCACTTAAATATGCTGTAGCTTCTTTGCCTCTTTTTCGCAACCGCCTTTCCGTCTGTTCCAGACACTGCTGCGCTAGCTGGAGATTGTTTGGTAGGCTCTTTTCTCCCTTCCATGGAAGTTCCACTGTATATCGTTCTCCATCAAAGGCGACAGATTTTTGAAACGCTTCCATTACTGTCGAAGGTTTCTCCGTAGAATCTTCGTTCTCTGACACCCCAATGGCATCCAGCTGCCAAAATCTTTTCAGCATTGCCTCAGTTGACTCCTCTGCTGTATCCTGTAGTGCTGTGGTCGTCGCATACGCTGGGCCTTTGCCCACTTTACCGCACAAGATCCAACCTAACTTCGACTGAACTGCGATAGGCTCATTGTTCCTACCTTGCCGAACTGTATTTCTCATAAAATCGTAGTAGTGATCAAGTCCAACTAAAGCATCTACTTCTGAGCTTGCGCATGGGAAGTTGTCTGCCAGATTTAGGCCACCGATATGCGACCACCCTTTCTGCAGTAGTGGTTGCGGCTCCAGTGCCGAGCAGATACGACGTACACATAGGGCTTGCATCCATTGACCACTGTCGTTTCTGTTGTTTAACGCCTTCAACGTGAAGGACACTTTCCGCGCTCTCTTTCAAGTGTCCCGCTAGTCTTTCCAAACGTGGCTATGCGGCTTCTGTCTGTCCCTAAAGCCCCAAATCATCTGCTAGCTGCTCTCGAATGAAGGATCGTTGTGATCCTGCATCGAATACGCACGTTACTATAGACATGTTGCCATTGAGACAACAAAGCTTAGCTCTAGCAGTTTGCAGCCATGTCGTAGACCTTTGTCTTTGCTGAACAAGTCCAACTTTGACCTGCCCAGCGTCGACATCCGTGTGCAGCAGCGGGTTTTTCACTGCTTTGCGTGGCCTATTGCCACTGTCAACAGCTTCCTCAACCTCCACCTGAGTCAATAGGAACTGAAAGAACATATCCAGGGAAGCCTTCTCCCCTACAGCAGAAGAAAGTCGTTCTTCCCATGCCTTTTGCAGCCTCTCAGGGAGTCTTTCCTTGAAGATTGTGAGCAAGACCTCCGCTGCTGAGAGTTCATTCTTCGCTGGGTCGCGCCCTAGTGCAACCAGCGCTCTAACGTGCAGGCTGATCTGATCGTGGAATTTACGCAATTCTGAAGCACTCGCGCAGTGATCACACTTGCTTATAGCCAACAGACTTTTGACGTGAGCTTCCACTATTGCGCGTGGGCGTCCAAATCGACCCTTCAGTACCTCGACTACCATCGGGTAGTTCGCGTTCGTAACGCTAAAACCTTCAACCGCTTTCAATGCATTGCCAGTCAATGCAGAAAGGAGATACACCAGTTTAGTAACGTCGCTCAGTTCCCGTCTGCTATGCACGCTAGCCTCGAACTGATCCCAAAATGAAGAACTCCAACAAGTTCCCACTAAATTTTGGCAAACTCCACTTTGGAAAAAGCGGTCCAGACCCTACGTTTGCCTGCGGAACGTCGTCACTCTGGTTAGCCAGTGTAGTGTTGACTGATCTTGAGACATGGTCCCTCGCTTGGACACGTAGCTCACGGACTTCACCATCAAAGCGCATCCAGGAACCGAGTTCTTCCGTTAACTGGTTTTCGCTGGCCAGTAACTGTTCAATCTTTTCCTGAACACCGTTCGCTTTGTTCATGTATTCTGTGACCAACCTTTCCATGTCCTCCACAAGCGATGGCTTCTTCTCAGATTCAATCGCATCCAGTAGCTCGCGTTTCAAGTAAGCCACACGAGATTTCAGTCCTGCTCGGGACCTCGTCAACTGCTCCATGCTTACTTGGCACAGCAGTACGCGAGCAGAAAAAAGGATCACCAGCGATCCGGCTCGGAGGACCACTATGTTGCGAATGAAGTGATAGTAACTGGAATCAGCATGTTCCCCGAGGTACCGTAAGCAAAAGGTTTATTGGTATAATATTCATCGCTTATACAGGGGGTCCAAAAAGTTCCCAGCCTAGCTTCCAGAAGAGCAAGGGAAGCGAAACTTTATTATGATCAAATATACTGTCCTTCAACTTCAATGCACTTTTCGCATCGCGATTTCAAATTCATTAAGCCATTAAAAAAGAAGTTTCTATCACGCGAGTTAAAGTTGTCCTGGACAGCTGACTTGAGTTCATTATCGTCGCTAAATACGGTTCCGCG